AAGTGTTCTCTGCCTTCCATCCACTGCTCCCCTGAGCAGGCACATGGTGAACCATTACCCAGACCTACCGGTCAACCTGACCCTCCTGTTCAGTGAAGTGAAAAGCAATGAAAATATTCAACTTGAGCTGAGTCAAATATTTTATCACCTAGGACCCTATTTATTCAAAACTCACTCGCTTGTAAAGCAACTTGGTTGAACAGGTAAATAAGCAAAGGGAAAGGCTAGAAACTTCCTCAGTTCTTCGACTTAATGATCAGCAAGTTTCTGAAGCCTGACATGGGCTGGCAGTAGCAGGGAAAAGTTGAAAGTCCTTCTCTAATCCTTCACTTGGCAAAAGGATAAAAGGAAACTTGTGCTCTGTACTTTTCAGAGAGTGGGAGCTGAATTTACTAAACGTCTTTTCTGGTGATTTCAAGGGGAATGCCAAAGATGGAAAAGAACAGGTCATAGTAACCCCAGTGGTGTTTTCTTGACCCTGAAGGACCCATTAACAAGCAGCATATAATAATCTTGTCACCTAAAATTACTATTTCCACGAGCAATTAAAAGGGACTAACTCCCCAAAACAATTTGTCAAAATTAAGCCTGACAGCTTTGCTACCATAATCCTCAGATTGGGCAGGGAGAGTGGCTCCTATGGAGAGATACTTAGTGACCTAGCTGTCACCAAGGAGGTTGTCAGCTTTTAACTGACCTTAGGCTGCTGTGTGATGGAACACACCAACATGAACGTGGAACTCGATGCACCTTCAGCCGCACCAGGAATTCCCAGTGATTCTGCATTCTTTGGGATTGTTTATGGTCCCTTTAAGCATCTGATGAGAGTTGTCATTGGAACCTCTTTTCACGGAAATATACATATGCATATAATCACAAAATATTCATGTATAATTTCAGGGAATTCAGGGCCCCTGAAATCCACCATGAATCTTTAGGAATCCACAGACCCCAATGGACCCCCACTTTAGGCCTCCCTCTCTGATTCAGAACAGACTTCCAGGAAGGTTTCTGCATAAACTGTAGGCAAAGACAGCAAGGTGAGGCGCAAATTGCCCTGTGCAATGCAAAGCCCAAACAGGGCTGGGCCTTGGAAAATGGCAAAGCAGCAAAGGTAAGCTTTGGAGTTTCCAGGCTGGCCCTTGTGACTGCTCCTCTTCCACTTATGCCCAGCCTTTTTCATGGCCCTCTTCACTCCTCAAGATCTGAGTTTACTAAGCAGACCCCATCTTTACTTACTATATGCCTGGAATATAAAGCATAGGAATCTCAACAACCTAGAGCCTATGCATTTTCTCTGTCTTCCCTGAAACATCAATTTCAGGCTATTGGCTGCTAATTGAAACCAAGTGGAGAAAATTTATATTCAAAGAGGCGGATCAAAGCTAAGGAGCATAGGAATAATTTGTTCTTCTAGACTGGTATTTCTTCAAATGTGCCCTACTGGTCACCTGGGTCAGAACCAGAGCTTGTATTTTGTGGGTTTTTTAAAGATCTTATTTTTCTATTTGAGAGAGAGAGAGGGAGCAGGAGGAGGGGCAGAGGGAGAGGGAGAGGCGGAGACTCTCAAGCAGACTCCGAGCTGAGTTGTAGAACACGATGCAGGGCTCGATCTCATGACCCTGATATCATGGCCTGAGCTGAAACCAAGAGTCAAAGGCTTAACTAACTGAGCTACACAGGTGCCCCCAGAAATTGTTAATAATGCAGATTCTTAGGCTCTATCCTGGACCTATAGAATGAGGGATGAGTGTAAGGGAAGACAGTGAACCTACATTAGAAAAGTACAACTTACCAGTAAATTATTTTCACATTAATATTTGATAACAATTGCTTTAAAGACTTTGAACTTTATCTTGAATCAAATCAAGTTACAACAACATACGTGAACCCTAGTGCTTTAGGTTCCCAAAGAAATGCTGATTTTTAGACAGAACCAAGATTTAGCATGAACTCTATCAAGAATTGCCCCAAATCTTTTATAAAAGTATTATTGAAGACCACTATCCATTATAATATAGCTGACAATTTCACTCAAGTTTAACATTTGGGTGAAGTTTTTATGATAAACCTCAAATGCTTTCTTTTATTAGATAATGAGAGTTAAGTAACTCAGAGTGTTTCCATTCTCAGCTTTGGCCTCCAGGAAACTCAGAACTAAATCTAAGTATTTAGATTTAGTACTGTACTCCCAGGTTGCCTCTTTCATATTGAGAACTCCCCACCCACTCCCTTAAATATATGCCTCTATTCTTTTTACCTCTGCTTAAATTATATTAAGCATTCATCCTTTATTGAAAGCTGCTGCTAATGCCTATTCAAAAAAATAGAGAATACGAGTAATCTGTCAATAGATAAATATGTTACTCTTTTACACATTATGGAATAGTGGAGAGAGTGGAGATCAAGAGACAGGAAATTTCAGTCCTCATCCATCTTTCTCTGTCGAGCTGGGTTTCCTTAGGCAGGTTGTCTCATTTCACCATCTGAGACAGGGGCAAGTTGGATCTCAGAGGTCTCTCCCAAATCCACACCCTCAGCTTATGTGCTTCCCATCATTTTGTTGGTGTGAGGACCATGCTGTCATCTCCAAGAGGTCCAGCTGTAGCCTTCAGTACTTGAGCGTCTGCTGGAGGCTGGACCCCCAACCAGAGATGCGTCAGGATGGGCAGGGGATAGAACCAGATGTGCTGGGGGTGGGAGATTCCAGCAGGGGCCCCGGTGAGGGCGAAATGGGTCACAAACAATGCCAACCAGACAAAGGGTTGAGTCAGTGGCCCTAAATGATCCTCTAATATGGGAGTGTGTTGGTATGGTGGGAGGGAGGAGTTAGATGGTAGGAGAGGAGAACTAGAATAAATCAAATAAAACTACAGAGGCTCACCTTGATTAAAAATATGTAAAAACCAACAAAGAAGAAAGAATTTTTAAAACTTTGTTTTTGTAAAAGTAATAAATGAATTACCTACCATTTATGCCTGATTTTCCAGATACACTGACTGATTTTGCATACTATGTGTACTACTACCTAAGTGTCAAAATGCTTTATTTGATTCCAACACTAACCATCTTGGTATATGCTGAGTCCTTAGGGTTTGCTGGCTGAAGTAGAACAACTACCTGCTCACAACTTTTAAAATAGAGAAATCTGCATTTTTGTTCTTGTTGCTGTTCTGAACAGACTGTGAACCTTGTGCATCCATGGGAAGCTGCTGGGATGACGCAGCAGAGTGTGGTGCAAAGGAGCCTCAAATCAGAGCTGGGTTCCAATCCCAGCTCAGCTGCATGTTAACTGGGGGATTTGGGGGAAGTTATTGAACCTCTGTGAGCCACAGTTTGCCTCTTGGGAGGGTGAAGAGAGCTGCAACTGGTTGCCTCATACCCTTGTGTAATAATATTTCAAAACTCTGATTTTTCTCCATTTTGCAGTTAATAAATGCTCCAGCTCCAGACCGAATGTAAGCTTTAATCCTTGTTGTAATATCTTCTTTATCAGTGATCACCATGCAGTTCCCAGGGTCCACTATCCTTCATTGCTGGGACCAGCAGAAGAATATATAATTGAGTTAAAATCAAGATTCTGCTCCCTTTCACTGAATTGTAATGAAGTAATATTATAAAGACTGACTATATCCCCAAAGTTACCAGTATCTGTCAAAAGAAATAATACTGGAATCTTCCTTTACCCTAAAAAACAAAACAAATTAAAACAAACAAACAAACAAACAAAAACACTCTGAGTGCTACAAACAGCTAAAGACAAAGAAGAGGATTTAAGGAGAACCTAATCTTAAGATAAATATTAGGTTTCACATACTGCCATGCAAGCAAGCGTGTGTCAAAAGGCAGCACTGTCTTTTAAAAATGGTTACAAATTGAACATACTTATCACAAGTTCACAGTGCAAAAGGATTATCATCTTTAATCAGAGTGTTAGGGGTTTAATTAAAGTAGATTTTGCTTTAAGGGAGGGACAGATGTATGCATATTACAGAATCATAGATGAATTCATTTATGCAGCATTGTACAGTGGATTTATGTTATTCTGAAGGTTTAGCCTTTCAGTGGAGAATAACTCTGTGAATGCCACTATTTCCCTTCACCCTAATCTTTGTTAAAGTGACATTGGATTTCCACTGTTCTTTTTCAGGATAACAACATCAGGATAACAAGTGACTTATGACTTGTGGGTGTCCGTGGCCACCTTTTAAGCAGTTTGTACACCTATCAGACCAAAGGATCCAGGAGCTAGAGATCCAGTAGAGGTAGTGTATGAATCTTACAGCAAAGGAAGGCTTAACTCTAAAGCTTTGCCTCTTCCTATTTGGACAGTTCGGAGATGCTCTAGGGTCCGTTAGCAATTCCAAGCCATTAGTGTGGCCAGGGAATGAAGGAACCAGATGAATTTGCCATAGCCATTTTTTGTGGTAAATAGAAGTTAATGGCCATTCCTTTCATTCATTTGTTCACTCACGTAGCAAATACTTACTGAATGCCCAGATGGCAGATATTATTCTAAGTGCTGTTGATATAGCAAGAAAACTACAAAGTCCCTGTTCTCATGGTGCTTATATTTCTAATGGAGAGAGATGCTAAGTATATACCTTCACTCATTAATGTATGTAAAATAATATATAAGTTAATATGTAAAGAAACCAGAAATATAATTTATAGTAGTAACTGTGATACAGAGAAATGAAGTACAATGGGTAAGTGAGTTGAGTTGAGGTCATCATACAAGGAAGGCTTGCTGATGAAGTGAGGTTTGTGGTGAGAGCTGATATTAGTTATAAAGAAGCGGTAACCCATGTGGACACAAGACCTCTTTGTCCCAGGGCGGATGCAGAAAGATCCGATTTTGCATGAATCCATATTCAACAAGTGAATCCTCTGAGTTAGAACAATGGCTTCTAGAAGACCCTTGTTTAAATAAAAAGTTATTTGTAAGTTGAAGCCATTAGCCATCATCACCTTTACATGAAGTCAGAGTGGTTATCTAGTCATCTGGTAATATTAAAAGGACAGAAAAGGCCATTAGAGAAGGTGGTCTGGATGGACAGTGTGGTCTGGACGGACAGGGTGGCGTTGGCCATTACTAACAATAGGAACAGAATGGAGGGGGTCAGGGGAATAGGCCTGGGAGGCTAGCCACAGCCCGTGGGCCCTGAGCCATTGGTGGCAGGTGAAATACATCGTCCCGTGGTGCTTACCACTGGTGTCTTCTCCCTAACTTCCTCCATGTTAAAGCAGCTGCTTGTGAAGTCTCTCTCAACCTTCCCCACAACAAAATTTCTAGCTCACACAGAGCTTTTCCGAGCTTCACGGCTGTGGGGGAAGGATGTTATGAAGTGGTGATTAAAGATGGGAACATGGTGGCATTGTATGCATGGAGATTTGGTCTGTGTCCGCTCGATCTTCCAGGGGGCACTATACCAGGAATTCACCTTGAAAACAGTGCTGTCTGAGGGAGATAAGAGTCCCCATCACCACAAAGAAATTCAGACAGAAATACTCCCGAGAACTACAGGATTAGAGTTACAGATGCAACCTTTAGTGTGAATGGTGGCAGTCCAGAAGAGGTCAGCTCAGGGCAAGAGCTGCAGGAGTGGCCTGGAAGCCAGGTGCTGGCAGGCTGGAATCAGCTACCTAGAGTTCTGCAGCTGCAGGGAAAGGAAGCAAGAGAGGAAAGAGTCCAGGAGGGCGCAGCAGGGGGCGGAGAGAGCAAGGTCACAAGGAATTGCAGCAAGGACAGAAAGTTCCCTCATATCCCTCATAACACAATCCTTTCTCTGGGGTTTTGGCAACATCCTTAAAGAGAGAAAGATCAGGGTCTAGGGTTCACAAGCCTAGCGCTCTTCCTGATTGCCAATCAATGCCTCTTAGGAAAAACCTGATGGTCATCCCCAAACTTACAACCAGGGCAGCACCGTTTGGAAGGAGGCAGTTTTTGTCTAAATAAACTTGTTATCGGATTCTCCATTTGCATATTATGTGGGGCCGTGGCTCAAGTGACCACTTGTTGTTTCTATACTAAAGAAATACGAAGAGGCATTTCCTGGAGCAGAAATGTCTAAATCCAGGTGTTCCTACAGGCTGTGTGCTGATTGGACTGTTGCTCAGGTCAAGGTCAAGCTGTCACCACCTGCAGCTCTGACTCTCACTAACTTGTGGAGAGAAAAGGGTGTTAATGATGACCTTCTAAAGAGGGTAAGGATGCATTTGCATTCTTCACCCATATATTACAAGGATCTGCATGTATGTGTATTCTGAGAGCTGGGAGTAGTTAAGCATAGTGGTCCTTCAATTAATCTCTTCTTATGAACTGTAACTTCTTTCTAAAATGTATTTTTAGAAATGTTACCATATATATTTTGTTTGTAGTTTTATGTATTAAAATTGATCGACTCTAAGGACAAATATTGGAATTAATATTCCACCTGTGATCAAAAGACACATTAACATGTTATAATTCTTGACTTCTTTGGAGGTTTCTTCTCTGGGGGCCGGGAAACTAGACTCTCCAGGTGTACTGCCAATTCCACTGGTCACTCCTCCATGGCCTTTGTTGGATCTCCCTCACCTCCCCTAACTTTTCACATCTAACCAAAGACCTGTTTCTAGATTCGTTTGCTTTGTTGTCTCATCTGCTGTGTGGCTTTAAATGCCATCTCTATGCTGTCAACTTACATTTTACTTCTCCAGCCCAAACTTCTCATCCAAACTCCAGATTCATAAATCCACTTGCTTAGTCAGCCTTCATTTGATGTCTACTGCATCCAACTTTCTTCAATCCAATTATGTTAACTTCATCCTTCTTGTTGTTCAGGACCCAAACCTAAAAGCTGTTCTTAACTTTTGTCTTCCTCTCAAAATCCACATCAAATTGTCAACAAATCTTGTTGGATATGCCTTCAAAATGTACTTGAATCTGACTACTTCTCACTACCTGCACTACTATTACCTGGTCCATCATCTCCCCCTGGACCACCATACTACCCTCTTACTTCTCTCCCTGCCTCTGACTTTGACCCCCCAGTAGGCTCTTCCCAACTCAGTAGCCAGTGTGCTCCTGTTAAAATCCAAGTCAGATCTGGTCACTTCTCTATTCAGAACCCTCCAATGGCTTCCCGTTTCCCTCAGAGTGGAAGACACAGTTCTCACAGTGACCACACAGTCTGCACCCCCTATCTCCTCCCACTCCGCACTGCTCTCTCTCCTCCAGTCACACTGGTCTCATTGTTCCTACAACACACCTTGCATGCTCCTGCCTGGCAGCCTTTGATTTGCATGTCCCAGGCTCTTCCCCAGATACCCATGTGCCATTTTCCTGAATAGTACCTTCTCCATGCACCCTTCCCTCACCATGTCATTTAAAATTGTGGTTTTCCTTCCTGCTTTGTTTGTCCCTGTTCTCTTTCCCTGTCCTAATTTTTGCCATAGGCCTCTTCAGCAGCTAACATATTACTGTTACTCTACATCACTCTTTGCTATTGTTTGTCTTCCTCTAGATGCCACAGGGGCAGAGACTGTCTGTGTTGTCCTCTGCTAAATCCCCAGTGCCTGGGCACTCAGTCCACTAGTTGATGGACAGAAGGAAGTCCTTCTTGGGGTGCCTGGGTGGCTCAGTCAGTTGAGTATCTGACTCTTGACTTTGGCTCAGGTCATGATCTCGGGGTCCTAGGATTGAGCCCACCATTGGGCTCCACGCTCAGCCAGGAGTCTGTTTGGGGATTCTCTCTCTCCCTCTGCCCCTCCACCCTCTCATGCATGTGCTCTCCCTCTCTCTCAAATAAATAAATTAATTAAAAATAAAAAGAAAGTCCTTCTTTCTTTAAGAAGATAAAAATTGAGATAAATCTTACTAACAAAAGATCTGATTTAAAAACCAGGTTTCTCAAACTGAGGGTTGCTGGAGTGGTGGGGGGTGGGAGGGATGGGATGGCTGGGTGATGGACATTGGGGAGGGTATGTGCTATGGTGAGC